CTGGAATTTTTTTGGGACAGGGGGTGTGAGGGTTTCTCAAAAATCAAAAAGGGGGGCGTGATGCCGAAAAGTTCGGGAACCACTGGTGTAAAGGTCGTGTTCTCTTCCCCCCCTCCTTTCCCCTCCCCAATACATAAAATGTGTTCAGGGTCATGGCTCCTGATTTAGTAGGGAGTTGATGCTGCAAAACCTGCCTGGTAAGCTCAAGGTGCTGTAAAGGGAGACAGGTATCATTACATTCACTGTGTGGCTATTACTTTGGCATTCATGCTACGAAATGTGGCTTTGGGGGGAGTTGTAGCAGATGTGTGTGTTTACACACCAACTGCGATAAAAGGGCGTGATGTAGTTACTCGGTGCTCACGCAAGCGTTTTGGGGTTCAAGGCAGAACAAGTATGTGCACTACAGAAGTCCATCTACTCCATCCGCCTCTAGCTCCTCCTGTGCGTGTCCAACAATTTGAAGGGGTACACTGGCAAGTCTGGGAAATGCCAGGAGTATGTTCCCGAGGGACAGCTTGGAGGGAGGGGGTTATCCCAGGCCCTTAGCTAGCCTGTGTCAAAGAAGACTGGTCTGCTGGTTAGGGTGCCAGCCTGGGAGACCCAGGTTCAATCCCTGCCTCTGCCACAGGTGGCCAGTGTGACCCAGGTGAGTCATTTAGTCTCTCCCTGCCTCCATTCCCCACCAGGATAATGGCATGGCCTTACCTCCCAGGAGCCCTGTGAGGGCAGCTGCATTGCACATGAGGAGGGGCTTGGCTAGACCAGCAGTGGGGCCAGCTAAGCACTGTAGGAAGGCTGAGCCTAGGCCTGTGGTCTCTGTCAGCTAAGGCTGTTGGAGATTTCCTGCCTTAAGTAGATGATTCAAGCAGGGGGAAGTGGGCCTTGGTTAGCATCCTGAGTTTAGGCTATTGCAGCACAGACATGGAGCTCCGTGACAGCCTGTGAAGAGATCTACCTTAATCCTGGCAGGCTGGCCTCAGGGCATGGCCTAGGGGAGGAACAGTCCTTCCCGTCCTGCTCCCTGCTGTATGGCAGGCTGGGCTAATCCCAGCAGGATTAAAGCCACCGTGACTCTTGATTGATTTAGAGTGGCCACCTGGCTCGGCAGGAATCCCAGGGACTTTTGAGTCCTGCTGACCCCCCAGCCATGTCCCCACTGAGAGGAGACCCCAGTACTGCCCACTACTGCATGGAGTACTGCATGGCTGCTGCAGCTGCTGTCTTACTCCCAGGCCTGCTGAAGGGGCCATTGTACTCCAGACCCTAGACAAGTCTAAGTGCGTCATGCTGTCCTCCGGCATCCTGGGTAACAGCCTGAAGCAGAGACAGTGAGTGATGAGCCTGCCTGGGCTGGCATCCCCTGGGCTGCCCTCGGATGAACAGTGTCGATTGGCTACCTAAAGTTACGTAATAGAAGGGAGAAAATCAGACCCAGCTACCCAGGCACCACGGTGCTGTGAGCGTCCAATTTTGACCTCCCAGGATTGGGATGCTGCCCCTGCAGAGGACGGAGGGAACAGCTGCAAGCACAGAACGTTACATCCCCTCTGCGGCGGGGAGGTTGGACGTTATTTGCAAAGAACAATAAACTCTTGGCCTCTGGCATCCTGCCAGCTCCGCTGAGATTCAGGATATTCAGGTAGACACTGCGGCAAAGCTGAGGCAGGTACTGCAGGTGGCAGCCCAGGCTGCACAACCCTGCCCGGGATCGTGGTGATGTACGCAAGTTGATAGTCCAGAGGCAGGCAATATATGGCGCATGGGCCAGATCTGGCCCACCCAACATTCGGATCCAGCCCACCACGATCCTCTGGGCTGCCGATGTCCCGTGGCCCTGCAGAACCCTCAGGCAGGCTCCGTGCAAAGCGGTCGGCTGCTGGGGTCACGTGCGTCTCCGCACAGCGTGTGCCCCTCGGCAGGCGGGAGGCCTCTGTGCCCTGTCCCACTCCCAGCACAATCCTTGCAGCTCCCATTGATTGGAAAGTGGCCAATGGGAGCGGGCCATGTTTGTGGGCACGGACGGCATATAGAGACTCCCCGCCCCTAAGGGGTGCGCACCACACAGAGACATGCATGCTGGTCCCTGCAACGGGCCGCTTTGAGTGACATGCGGGGGTGTGGCAGGCAGGGAGCCTGCCCGAGGGTCCCACTGGGCTGCTGGCTGGGAGCCGCCTACAGTAAGATCCTCCTGGAAAGAGCCTGCACCTGGAACCCCACCCCCTCCTGCACTCCAACCCCCTGCCCCAAGTCACAACCCAAATCCCTGTACCCCTTCCTGCACTCCTGCCCCAGGTCACAACCCAAAGCCTCTGCACCCCTTGCTCCTGGTCTCTACTCCCACCCAGACCCTGCACCCCATCCTACACACCTCCCCCAGGTCAGAAGCCTCTCCTGCACCCAATCCCCACCCAGACTCTGCACCCCCTCCTCCACCCCTACCTGGAGCTCCTTTCTGTGCCCAACCTCTGTCCCAGACCCTGCACCCCCTCCATTAATATCCTAGAAAAGTGCAGCCCTCGACCACCTACCAAATACTTGGAGTACCCCCCCCCATCAAAAATTCTTGCCCACCCCTATGCTAGTCCATTCTGCTGCTGCCAGCTTCAGTGCTGCTGTTACTGGAGATAGCTAGATTGAAGCCAGCTCGGGCATGTCTCACCCCTGACGGCAGCACAGACGTACCCCCAGGTCCCAGCAGTAACCGGAGCCCCCTCACCTCTCTGTATCTCCGTTATGAGGGAGGTTTTCCCCGTATTGTCCAGGCCCACAACAAGGAGGGTCACTTTCCTGGAGAGGAAGCAAAGCCAAGTTAGCCTGCACAGAGGAGACATCCTCCCCTCCAAGCTATGGAGCTGTGGGCTCCAACTCGAACCAGTCACCAGTCGCCGTCTCGTGAGGAATTATCGCAAGAGTCATGGTTCTAGTTCTCTCTGGGATAAGCCCCCTGAATTCATGGGGTGAGAGCAGGGAGGAAGTTGACCCTTTGGGGACAGAGAGGCTAACTGGTGACAAGGGCAGGGTCAGAGAGGAACACAGAAAAGAGGCCCCGGGTCCCTTACCCTGTTCCCCAGGGCCAGTGCAGGACTGTCCCTTCCAGCAGGGTTCTCTCGGGTTCCTTCCCTGGCGCGAGGCCTCTTGCCACTAGCGGGACAGAATCCTTCCCAAAGCCAGGGGCCTGCCGAGATCTGCCTCCTGCAGCTGTCCTCTGGGGGCTTGTGACAGCCGGGGCTTCCTGCCACGGCCTGGGCGTGTCTCCCTGGACCAGCCCCTTACGTGGGTGTCCACAGCAAGGCAGAATTCCCATCGCTCCTGACACACTCGGAGCAACGGCGTGTACCAGAATGGGGGTACGGCACGCCAGCGCTGTCGCCCACTCCCAGCTTCTGACCAACAGAGACATCACACACTGGCACCTGGGCATGGGAACGCCCATCAGACCCACTTCCCCTCTCACGCCGTAACCTCCTGCTGCATCCATGTCACTTCACCTCACGCTGCTGAGCCATGGGCCAAAGGCCACCTAGACTGGGGTGCCTTCCCCTCCTCTTTTATTCTTCTTTACCCATCGTCCCAAGGGACACAAGCCCCAAGGGCAGTGATGACCGGAGGGGGCTTGAAGGGACTCCTTGTTTTGGTTCTACACTAATTCTGAAGGAGATTTGGTCAGTTCCCCTCCCTCTGCTGGAGCTTACCCCTTCCCTGGACACCACTAATCCCCCCGACAGAGCTCACTTATCCTTGGGGCTCAGCACCCTGCTGAGGAGCTCTGTTCCTTGCTGACCATAGTATCAAAGGAAGGCTATTTTCAAACGCATTCCTAGGGGAAGGAGTCCCCCGTTCTCCCCATTCAGTGATTGTACTGGGGGCGAAGGCCTGATGTTCCTGACCCTGCACCTTGTGCTGGCATTTGCACCTTTGCAAGGCTGCCTACGAGGGCCGGCGTGAGGCATGTACAGTCACTTCCCTGCACTTTATTATTGGCCCTGCGCCCCCAAGCAGCCCGTCCTACCTGAGGCACATCCCAAAGCTGCGGGCTGCGCCTGGCAGTGGCAACCCCCACATCCTGGGACCCCCAGTCTGTGGAAGAAGAGGAGGAGGCTGTGGGTGGTAAGGCCAGCATATGACCCCACGCTACCAGCCTGAGAGCTCTTCGCGCTACTGAGGCAGCCACCGCCACAGCCCTGCCAGGGCAGAGCGGGAGCCCTGGGGCTGGTGTGCAGCTGACAGCAGCCCCGGCTGCAGCCGCGCCCCCTTCGCACTAG